ACTCTCACCCTTCTTACTTCACCACCAGTTCCTGCTCCGGCCGTATCTCCATTCTTTCCCAACCAAAACCAGCATCGACACCTCCCGCCAATAAGAAGAAGGCACGTGGAGGATCCTGGCTCTTTATCTCCCACGACCTCGCCGATCCCAACTCTCTCCTTCCTATCCTTTTCCCCACTGAGTCAACTATTTCGGCTGATGGGCACGTCGAATCAGAAACTGGGTCGGGAACCGAGTTGGTGTTCCGGTTCGAGCCATTGATTATTGCTGTGGAGTGTAGAGACATTGAGGCTGCACAATTTTTGGTTTCTCTAGCTATAAAGTGTGGATTTAGAGAATCAGGGATTACAAGTGCTAACAACAAGAGGGTTATTATGGGAATTAGGTGTTCTATAAGAATGGAGGTTCCTTTGGGTGACAGTGATAGGATTTTGGTATCAGAAGAGTATGCGAGGTTTCTTGTTGACATAGCGAATCAGAAAATTGAAGCTAATTGGAAGAGAACTCAAGGGCTTTTAAGTGGTTTAAGAGAAAATGGGTTTGTGGGGTGCCTGGTTTCGGATGACGGTGAGCATGAAGATGGGCATGATGATCAGTTGGAGAGAACAGCAAATGGGTATTCTCCTATAGGTAATTTTAATTAATTTTTTGAGTTTTTGATAATACAAGAATGGCTCAGTTTATGTCCTTAATAGAAACAAATGTCAAGTTTCGGACTTTGAAACTTCTGTATCTCTTGTATTGATTTTAGCTTTTTCTTGGAATTCTGAATTTAGCTGGTTTTCAATGTGTAGATGATAGGAATCTGATAATGTTGCTGTTTCATAGTGATACATATATGTCTGATATGTGAATTTTTTACATATCATATATGTGTGATTGCAGGAGACGTTTAGTTTTAATATGAAAGCAAAGTTTGAGTCTTTGAATCATTGGCATTGGCAGGGATGGTGGGAGGAGTAGGAGAAGCCTCTGATTGCAGTCTATCTGCTTCTCCAATTGTAGTTGCTGGTGAACCTGTAGAGAAGCTTTTCCTTTGGGGTCACTCTGCTTGTATATTGGATAGGGGAAGCTACAACAGTGTTCTGGTATTTGGTGGTTTTGGAGGTATGGGAAGGCATGCTCGAAGAAATGATTGTTTTCTATTTGATCCGTTCGGTGACAAGTTAAAAGCAATTGATGTTGAGGGTGCACCATCTCCACGATTGGGTCATACAGCTTCTTTGGTTGGTGATTTTGTTTTTGTTATTGGAGGCAGAGCTGATCCTTCCAACATTCTGAATGATGTATGGGTTCTCAATACAGCCAAATTGGAATGGAAGCTGGTACAATGCAATGGTAGTGTTTTCCCTCCAAGGTGAATTTTTTAGCACATTCATGTTAATTTCTTCAGTTCACATTTTAATCTCCGTTCTTTTTGCCCTTTTGGTATGTGTGTTGACTCCAAGTTTTATGAAATATTTGTCAAAGAAACAGAACTCTGCATCCCATCTTGCAAAACAACTGCTAATTTTGTTCACCTGTCTTTGCATCTTTGAAATCTCTTATAATTAGTTACTTAGAATCCATGTATGTGTATTTTTCCTTGGAAAGAATGATGTATTTGTGCTTTTGAATTCTTCATGTATGCTTTGCAGGCATCGGCTGCAGCAGCAGTAGTTGGCTCCAACATATATGTATATGGTGGACTTAACAGTGATACAATCTTATCATCCTTGCATGTTCTTAACACTGAAAATCTGCAATGGCTAGAGGTCTTGGTTAATGGGGATGGGGAACAGCCATGTGGTCGTCATTCTCACTCAATGGTGGCATATGGGTCTAAAGTATTCATGTTTGGAGGGTACAATGGCGAGAGAGCTCTTGGAGATTTATACAGTTTTGATGTCCAGACATGCATGTGGAAGTTAGAAAAGACAGCTGGAAGAAGTCCACATGCTAGATTCTCCCACTCAATGTTTGTCTATAAGAATTTTCTTGGAGTCATTGGTGGTTGCCCTGTTGGACAACATTTCCAAGAATTGGCATTGCTTGATCTGCAATTCCTTGTGTGGAAACATGTCACACTTGATTATATTGGCAAAGAGTTGCTTGTGCGCACTACAGCCAATGTTGTTGTTGATGATCTTTTTCTCATTGGTGGCAGTGCAGCTTGTTATGCATTTGGAACAAAGTTCAGCGAGCCATTGAAAGTCAACTTGCTTCCGCTGGTTTCTTTAGGAGACAAACTTATGCCAGCCGAGAAGAATGTCAATGCCAGAGTTTCTCATGTTGGAAATCTGGAGGCGTTAACTCAGAGTCCTGTCTTGAACTCTGAGGCTGAGAAGCATCAGTTGGTTCCTTCTAACTTTGTACTACAACTTGAAAAGAAGTATGCAAAATTTGGGAAAGACATACTGAAGAATTTTGGATGGTTAGATCTTGGGAGGAAGGTTTATACTCAGGAAGATGGATTACATATCTGTTTTCCTATCACTGAAAAGTTCTCTGCCATGTTTCTGGAAAAGCAGGATCTGGATGGGGATGTGTTTGAAGAGGGGAATGATACTTGTGTATCTAAACCATTTACAGGAGGAATTTTGTTAAATGTGGTATCTTGTTCAACAGCCTTGAACTTCCTTAAGAAATGTGGTGCCACTAATTTAGCAGATGAGGTTGGTGAAGTCAGAAAAACTTCAAAATCTCCCTTCGAATCAATGAATGAATCAGTTGCCTTGTTGATTAAACAAAAAGACCTAGCAGAAACACTATTAGAGCAGCTGCCAAACAGGTTAGTAGTCTGGAACTTTATATCTTTGGCATCTGTTGTTGTGCTGAAGTACTGTAAGTTGGGATCAAGTCACATTCATTACTCAGAAATACACTTCCAGAGATTGTGGCTCACAATTTCCTATCAATCAGCCTGACAAGTGACAACCTTTCTCTACATTCAGATGGGAGCGTCTTGGGATATTGTTGTGCTTCCAGCAACATCGTTCAAGGATCCAATATGGGACTCAATTGGCAAGGAGCTTTGGCCTATCGTAGCCAGATCACTTAATACTCGCCGCATTGCTCGCCGAGTATGCTATAACTTGAATTTTTTATAAGCTCCTTGCTTACAAATGATTTTTATTTTATTTTGTATTGTATCTTATTTAATGATTTGTTCTTGACAAGCTCGTACTTTTTTTTGGCCATGCATTTGAAAATTTCTAACATGCTCAGGCTGTGGTATCCTAGATTGAATGGCAGGTGATAAATACAAGATGAAAGTATGAATTTTTCTACTTGAGTTTAGAAATGTTGGCATTGATGCATGATTCTTATCATACTTTAGTGAAGGATCTTTCGTTGCTGAAAGGATCTATATGCATAATCATAAGACAGCATTTTGCTATCGGTAGGATCTAGTTATACATACTTTTATTAGTTTGCTTGTATAAGCATTCATTCCTGCATTTCTATGTGCAGGGACCAATTGTCATGGCTGTTTTAGTGCCATACTGCAGTTTTTTGCATCATCTTATTTCCAATGTGTTTAATTAACGATGTCACTGCTATGATATGCTCATAAAGAGTTGCATAAAAATTTCTTGAATTTCAATTGATAATAGGTTTCTTAAGCTTATAAAAATCAGAAAGTATAGTTGATTTATGTATTCATTCTGTGAGTCTGATGGTACTTTAGGGACGAGTTGCATCCACTGGAACAAGGGACAGTACCTTGGAGATTCTTGTGGGAGATAATGGATGGGTTGATCATCGAGAAAATGGAATTCTCTATTCCTTTGATGCTACCAAGTGCATGTTCTCCTGGGGTAATCTTTCTGAGAAGCTTCGTATGGGCAATCTGGAGTGCAAAGACGAGGTTATAGTGGATTTATTTGCTGGAATAGGATATTTCACATTGCCATTTCTTGTCAGGTATCGTGTGATTCATCTTAGTCTGCCTACACCTTCAATTGTGTTTGGATCTTTCTCTCTGATAAAAATTCTGATTGTTTCAAATTCAATTGTTCTTTTACTTTTCAATGTCTGGAGAATTAAAACTCTGGGAAGATAATTTTTTAAAGGTTCAATGGTTGGTTTTGGCCTTGAACACCTCTTAAGTTTATTCTTTATCCAGTGGTGGAAGTTATTCATTAGATGGTGCACTGTCTTAAAGTTTAGTTCAAGTCTACTGAATTACTTAGCTCGCTTTTCATTGTTTCACTTTTGTTTGTATTTGATTTTGAATCTTAATGATGGGTTGAGTAGGGCCAAAGCGAAACTGGTTTATGCTTGTGAATGGAATTCCCATGCTGTTGAGGCATTGAGACATAATCTTGAAGCAAATTTGGTCTCTGGTCGGTGTATTGTACTTCAAGGAGACAATCGAATGACAGCTCCTAAGGTACATTTTGCTCTGGTCATTGGTAATGTTTTGCCTGCAAATCTCTTTATGTTTTTTTTTTTGGGTTTGTCAATGCAGCATGCTCTGGTCATTGGTAATGAGTATGCTGCATGTGTGCTAGTTTCCATAGGAAGACTTTAGCTGATAGTGCAAACAACTTTATTTATGGAGCATTATCCTCTACTCTACCCTTTCTCTAATATTTCATAGGACAATTGCATGCACTTCGAAAGGTGAATGAAAGTTGCAAGTGACCCTTAGTTGCTTTCTTTTGTTTGATTGAATTATAGAAAGAGAGAGATTAGAATTTTCTGTTCTTGTCCTCTCTTCCCAAACAAACAGGCACCTTTGTATGGCATTGTGTGGTCACTGCCTCACTGGCATGACCTTCTGGGATTAAAAAATTTAAATTCACGTGCCATAGCTAGGCCCTTTTGTTACCTAATCATCATCCTTTGTTGGTGACATCCAATTGGTTTGGAAGTTGGAACAGTACATTAGTTCTTAGTGTGAAGTTGATAAAATCATCCATGGCCAGCACTGCAGTGGTAGACATTCTAAAGTTGCACTACTTGCTTGACATTGTGGTCCATGTCCTAAGAACTAAAGTTTTCTGAGTCCCCCCATGGCCTTGGCCCCAGCTTTTGCAAAGATGATCAAGATTCTTGTGAAGGAACCACACACCAGTAAAGAATCCAAAGACACAGCATGTTATTGGATTCATTTGAATGGTGTCCTTCAACGAAGGGTAGCATGCATCGATATACAGTTTGATGACTCTATAATTATTATTTTTTATTTTTTTGAAAATTATGTTGAAGATGCTAAACTTGGTTACGTGTAAGAATCTAGCTATATTTCAATCAGATTTTCTGTAACATTATCTGTTTATTAAAATAGTACAATAGGGTAGACCATTTGAGGCTTGCCATAAGCAGAAGGTCCCTCACATTTCCTGGATCTTGAGTCAAGTGTCGATCAGTTAACGCACAAAGAAATAAATTATGTTCAAGAGCTTCCGGTAAAGAAAAAAGGACAAATCTACTGTTTTTTTTCCGTTTAAAGGTAAGGAAAGATTTTTGACGATTCTGCAACCTAGAATAAGCGATTAACAAATCAAAAGATTAAAGTTAATAGTTAGCAAGATAGAAAATCATTGAAATGATCACAATTGCAACTGATCAAAAGATTAATGTTAAGCCTGAGAACTTGTTGTTTCATAGTGTTGAGGAGGATTACTCCAAAATACATAGTGCACGGAGCTTTTGGTATCAAATAGCCCAGCAACTGTAGAAACTAGAAACAATAGTAGTAGAAGGAGGAGGAGAGAGAATTTGTTGTGTTACCCAGGTTCTATTTTATCAGTTTTCCCTCTGTTTTATCCTTCAAACATGCCACTGATTTGAAGTCTTTTCCTAGTTTGGTAGTGTGATGGGATATAGTTATTGCTCTCATGGTACTAATTCTCACCCATGGTACACTCAATCTATTTGAAAAGCCTCACGACTCTAAAATTTCACTGCTGAAGAACTTTGATTTCTGATGTCTTACCTTATGGGACAAATATGCATGATGTGTTCTTTTTAATCCAGAAGACAGTGTCTAGAATTCTTGTTGGTTTCTGTGCTGGAGTTTATTAGCTTCTCCTTTGGAATTCAACTCCTCTCAGGAATGTAGATCAATGTGCTGCCTCTTTCGTTTTGAAGCTGCAGAGCTGCAAGTATATATATGGCTTGCTGCAAATTCCTATTTGTCACTATTTCTGCTTTCTCCATTCAAATTCTACTGCTACTGCAGACTCTGCATGTGATCTTATCTGCAGCTGTTGAGGTTTAGCTCCTTCGTTACAACACTACATGTCTTCTGATCCATAGGCCTATGATTGAATATTTGTATCAAATTTATTGATTGATTCTCTATAAATCTTTAGTTTCTGTAATGGCTTCTTGTTACAATAGTTTCTTTTCAACTGATCATTAAAAACAAAAGATGTAATTATTAAGATAGCTTTAATTTTGCTCCAAATCAATCTTTCATATTTTTAAAATTCTCAATTAAATCTTTTCATTCATATTTAATCACAGATACCTTTCAAATTGTAATTTTTTTTCATGGATACACAATTACTAAACATTTTCTGTCAAGAAGTAACATAAGGATGTAATTGAGAAATCTAAATTATTAAAGATACGAGTGGTAACAAAAATTTATTTGTAAGTAAATTTGATATTATTTCAATAGTTAGGTGGTATATCTGAAATTTGACCAAAAAGAAAAAAGAAAAAGGAAAAGTGAAAAAAAAAAAAAAAAGATAGACAATTTGTCAAAGTTGTGATGGGTCTCACCAACTTCCACTCTTTATTCTACCAAGTCTTCCAAATAAAAATATTTCTTAGCGGACCTGTTACTACATATCATTTCAACAACTGTAACAGTCTCTTCTACATCCATTTTCTAAACCAGTCTCTCTCTCTCTCTCTCTTCTTTCTATTCCATTTCTGATTTGAGCAAAACCAGTACGTAGTTGCAGAATATTTTGCAGGCACAGGTATTCCACTTTTTTTTTTTTTTTTTTTTTTGTAGCATGCTGTTTCTATATATATCATCATTTGATTCTTCCATGTACTAAAATTGGCTAATCTCTAATCAATAGTTTGGATAAATAAGTACTTACCAAAGTGAAGACTTCGGTTTTTCACTAATAAATTTATAAATTGGGTTCAAACAAAATCTAAATTTAAATTTGATTAGCTTAATTTTTAAATACAATTTGAATGATTATCAAATTTGACTTCCATTAAATTTTTATTCAATATTTTGACAGTACTGTATATATTTTCTTTTTCTACAGGCCTTATTGAAGGAGAAAGAGAAAAATGGATCCATTTTGGAATGATGTTGAAGAGATAGATGATGGTAGTTTCAAGTGTCAGTTCTGCGGTCATCCATTTGCTAAGGATACTTCGATTTCAAGGATCAAATGGCATTTATCAGGAGAAAGAGGTCGTGGTGTTGCAATTTGTAGACAAGTGCCTGAAGAAGTTCAAAAAGCAGCCTTTCAAGCTATGCGAGGTGGCAACAAAAGACATAAAAGCATCGGTAGTTCTAGTAGAAGCATTAATAATGCAGTTCCAACTTGTCCACAAGAACGAAACGATGATGGGATTGGAAGTTTGAGGACTGATCAAGGTCAGGTGTTGGAACAGAGCAATGGAGTTGATAATTCGGCAGGAGATGTAGGAAGGATGCAAATGGAGGGTCAGGGCATGGAACAAGGTGTGTTGAGACAGAGAACTACTTCAACTGCGGAAGTACGAAATCGCATGGAGAACTTGACTGGAGGAATGGCCCAGCCTGTTGACAGAAGTTTCTTTCCAGAGAGGCCTATCGTTGATGCACATGCGTCCAGAGAAGATGCTTTGCAAGCAACTGATATATTGGGTCAAGTGGATCTAGAGGGAAATTGGGAGGAAATTGCAATTAGGACCATTGAATCTCAGTTGATGAATGAAACAGAGGACGGGACTAGAGGCACTTCTGGAGGGGTTAGTGGTAACACAAATGAGACTAGAGGATATGCATTACCAACTGGTTCTACAAAGCTGATGGGTCAAGAATTTGAGAAGAATCAGAACGTAATCTGGTCTTGGTTAATGAATGATGAGGTCTCGACTGTTGGCATCCACGGGATGGGGGAGTCGGTAAAACGACATTGCTGAAACATATTTATAATCAGCTTGTCCAAAGACAAGACGCTTCTCGTCATGTTTACTGGATTACTGTGTCACAAAACTTCAGCATTAATAGATTGCAGAATCTTATCGCTAATCGTATTGGTGCAGACCTTGCAAAAGAAGAAGATGAGCCGTGCAGAGCTGCCATATTGTCAGAAAAACTAAAGGAGAAAGATAAATGGGTTCTCATTTTAGATGATTTGTGGAACTCTTTTGAGCTACACAAGGTGGGAATTCCTGTCCCAGTGGAGGGTTGCAAGCTGATTCTTACAACTCAAGATTTACAAGTTTGTCGAAGGATCAACTGTACACGCACAATCAATGTGCAAGTTCTATCTGGAGGAGAAGCTTGGACTTTGTTCAAGAAGAAACTTGCACATGATGAAATACTCTCTCCTGAAGTTGTGGAAATTGCAAAATCTATCACGAGAGAGTGTGGTGGTTTGCCTTTGGGAATTATTACGATGGCAGGAAGCATGAGGGGAGTGGATGACCTACATGAGTGGAGGAACACACCGGATAAATTGAAACAATCAAGATGTAGAGACATGGAGGATGAGGTATTTGGAGTATTGAAGTATAGTTATGATCGCTTAAATGATTTTGCACTACAACAATGTCTCTTATATTGTGCATTATTTCCAGAAGATTATGAGATTCTCAGGGAGGATTTGATAGGTTATTTGATCGATGAGGGAATAATAGAAGGAATGAAGAGCAGACAGGCAGAATTTGATGAGGGCCATACGATGCTTAATAAACTTGAAAATATCTGCTTGTTGGAAAGTTGTAAAAAAAAATTTAGAGATGAAAGAGCTGTCAAGATGCATGACTTGATTAGAGACATGGCCCATCAAATACTACGAACGAAGTCTCCCTTCATGGTTGATGAAGAATTACCAGATGTGGATAAGTGGAAAGAGGAACTGGTGAGAGTCTCTTTTATGGAGGGTTGGTTGGAGGAAATTCCTTCTTGTCATTCACCAAGATGTCCAAGTCTTTCAACCTTGCTGTTACGCTCTAATTACAGATTGAGTTTTATTGCAGATTCTTTTTTCAATCAATTGCATGGGCTCAAGGTTCTTGACCTGTCTGGTACGTCTATTAAAAAATTGCCAGATTCTGTCTCCTGTTTGACGAGTCTCAATGCATTATTGCTCAACGGGTGTTCGAAATTAAGGCATGTACCTTCATTGGAAAAGCTTAGGGCACTGAAGAGGTTAGATCTCAGTGGAACTTCACTTGAAAACGTGCCTCAAGGCATGGAATGTCTATCCAACTTGAGGTATCTTAGACTGGATGAATGTCGTGAAAAGGAGTTTCCTAATGGGATATTACCTAAACTCCCAAACCTGCAGGTATTATTATTAATAGAGGGTGGATTTTTTAGTAGATATGCTCCTCCAGTACGAGTTAAAGGAAAGGAAGTAGCTTGCTTGAGGAAGTTGGAAACTCTGGAATGCCATTTTGAAGGTCTCTCTGACTTTGTAGAGTATCTCAAATCTCGAGATACGATCCAATGACCAAGCACATGCAAAATTCTTGTACATAATGATGATTGTGAAGTAAAGATGACTTGTAACAAAAGCGTTGGTTTGGGTAAGATTCAACAATTGGAGATTTGGAATTGTAATGGTGCAAAAAGTGTATACCCCTCATTAGAATATGCAACTGAACTGGAGGTCATCAAGATTTGGGATTGCAGTAGCATGGAGAGCTTGGTTTCATCTTCTTGGTTCTGCTCTGCTCCACCACCATCTCCATCTAAGGGTATATTTTCTGGTCTTAAAGAGTTTTATTGTCGTAGGTGTCCAAGTATAAAGAAGCTGTTCCCACCTGTCTTGTTGCCAAACCTGGAAGTGATTGAAGTTGAACATTGTGCGGAAATGGAGGAGATAAGAGCAAGAAGCGATGAAGTGATTGAAGAATTCAGTCTCCCGAAGATAAAGCGTTTGGTTTTCGAAGATTTACCAGAACTGAAAAGCATTTGTAGTGCAACACTGATATGCGATTCTCTAGAAAAAATTGAAGGTATTGTCCGAAGCTAAAGAGGATGCCAATTTGTCTTCCGATGCTTGTAAATCTGGAAGTGATTGAAGTTGAACGTTGTGCGGAAATGGAGGAGATAATAGCAAGAAGCGATGGAGTGATTGAAGAATTCAGTCTCCCAAAGATGAAGCGTATGGTTTTGAAAGATTTACCAGAACTGAAAAGCATTTGTAGTGCAACACTGATATGCGATTCTCTGGAACAAATTGAAGTAAGGTATTGTCCGAAGCTAAAGAGGATGCCAATTTGTCTTCCGTTGCTTGTAAATCTGGAAGTGATTGAAGTTGAACGTTGTGCGGAAATGGAGGAGATAACAGCAAGAAGAGATGAAGAAGGGGTTATGGGTGAAGAATTCAGTCTCCCAAAGATAAAGCGTATGGCTTTGCGTGATTTACCAGAACTGAAAAGCATTTGTAGTGCAACACTGAGATGAGATTCTCTGGAAGAAATGGTAGTATATGGTTGTCAGAAGCTAAAGAGGATGCCAATTTGTCTTCCGTTGCTTGGGAATGGCCAGCCATCTCCTCCCCTTCTCTTAGAAGAATGTGGATAGATCCAGAAGAATGGTGGGAGTCAGTAGTGGAGTGGGAGCATCCTAACGCTAAGGATGTCCTTTCACCCTTTGTTCGCTTTCTCTCTCTCTGACTCTTTCCTTAATTTTGATGAATTACACATTCTCATTTGTTACTATTTGTATTCATTTGTGACAGGTAAACCTATTTATAAATATCTTATCATTAAAAATATCTCATCATTTATAACTATTAAAAAATAAAAAATAAATCAAAATGATATGAGGTGAGGTGAGGTGAGGTGAATAGAAGCCATGATTAGCGTAATTAATTACAGATATAGACAAGGATGAATTCTAGTAATTTTTCCTTCCTTCAAAAATTTCAAATTTGTATAATTGCAGATATAAAAACTAATTTTTTTTCATCATTTTACCGTGGGATTTACCTATAACCTTTGTAGTTTGCCAATATTCCCCACCAAACATGCATATAAAGAGAGCTGGTTTAATTCCCCAAAGAAGCCCTCCTTAACCATTAATTCCTCGCCATTTTCTCCTAATCCATTATCTTCTACTTCTAACATAAGCGTTTGCCATTTTCTCGAAAGTATTTCTCATCAATCTTATTTTATCCAATTCCTTATTACTTTGGCAATCTTCTGATTTAAAATACAAAATTGTAATATTAAAACTGAAAATAAAATGCTCTACAGGTTTATACTTTGGCAATCTATAAAATAAATTGGCAACTCGTAGAGTAGAATAGTCTTTTTGAGTTCTTTTAGTGTTACTGTTGAAGTTTATATTACTGAAATCTTGACTCTTGAGCACATTTATTAGATTCTTTTTTTATTATTATTCAATAAGAGGTCTATTAACTTTGGATTACATCAGTTTTTTACCCATGCTATCTTACGGATTAAACAAAATATATATAATTATTTTAAAAAATAATTTTAATTTAATAGTCTATACTATACCATAACCCTATTAAAACATATCAAATTGAAGGTGAAAAAAAAAAACCATTGATTTTTTAAAATTTTATATTTAACTTATTATTTATTGTATTTTTCATAAATTTTCTACAAAAAAGAATATAATCATTCTTCTATATCCTGATTCTTAACTAAAAACTCCTAAGAAAATTTAAAAATCCATGAATTCTTAACTATAAACTTTTTTTTTATAATGTTTTTTCTTAAAAAATCTAAGACAGTGATAATATCTGAAAACCAGAGAAGCTATCTGTGCTTTTGCTTCATTGTTTGATTGGACATTATGATTATTTCCTTCCTCTTCATATGATGTTCGTGCTCCAATCGTTTTTATTTGAATGCCTGGCTCATGTGTATGCACTGAAACACTCACTTCATCACCATTATCAAACTCAACATTCTCACCTCTTCATATGATCTTTTGAGACTGTTGGGGCTGAAAACCATGCTTTTACCCTTGGTATTGTTTTTCATTTCAACATCAACAGCAAGCATGAAACTGAATTCTGATGTAGCAAAGCACGTAATGACGAGGTTAGCTGTACCATCAAATAAGAATCCATAAAATAAACAAGGGAAATTTTTTGTAGATGTAGAAGTAAATGTACAAAAAATACAGAGTTGAAGTGCAATAAATGGATGAGGAAGGACCTCAAATGTCGAAGGCTGTATCTGAAGAATGACTGTTTCCATTATTCTCGACATGTGTAAGTCAGACTTTTGGATCAATTCTAGCTTAATCAAATCTTGGAATTGAACTAAATGATCACAATCCTCTTGAATGACAACACCGATTAGATTTGTGACTCTCTGTAGTGAATAGCAACTGGACACATCTATCCAGAGCAAATTAGATGGAAGCTCCGGGAGTGTCTGAAGCATTTGGGATTTTCTTAAAAAGCGGTATTTGAGTGTACTGAGGCCCTTAATGCTTTCTGGTAGAGAACGAATTGGAGTTCCATGTAAATTCAGTTCCACCAAGGAACATGGCAATGAAAAAGTGGAAAATCTCGAAATTTTCCTTGTTGAAAACCAAGAGCAAAAGGATAATTTCAACCGCAAAGCTGCAATATTTGGTGCATTGGCAACAATTCCATCACTTTGAAGCAACCTCCTCCGCTGAATCTATATTCAGGCCATCAAGATTTGAGCAACCATCTAATACAAGTTATTCAAGTGAATTCAATCTACTCACTTCTTCTGGAAGCTCCACAAGGCTTTTACAATTTCTCAAATTTAAGATTAAGAGGCTTTGTAAATCTCCAATAGATTCGTGAAACTGAACCAAATAGATGCAATCTTCAAGCATTAGCATTTCAAGAACTGCAAGACCTAAGAAATCTGGGGTACTAATGAGATCATACTGAGTGACAGAGATCAAGGATTTTCAATTTTGGAAAAGACTAGAAAAAAATACAATTTAGTTTAATCAATTGAAACTTCATACATGTGAGGAACAGAGAGAGAGAGATTAGCAGCATACCATTCTTCCTCTCCAAACATTAACTAGACTGCTTCTGGATAGATCAAGAACCACAAGCTTCTCCAAGCAGAAGTACCTTGGCATGGATCTCGACGAGAATCCAAGCCAACATAACCATATTAAACTTTTGGGAAACTGTTCATAGTTTCCATCCAACTTCCAAGTAATTTAGTTGGAGGAATGTTACATTTTGCATCTTTCTCAATGCATCCATGCCAAGGAGGGGAAACAAACTTGTTTGGCAATATTCCCAAGAGAAGAATCCAAGAAGACGACATGGTTCTAACAATTTATGTTGGTGGCATACCATTGATTTTTCTAATGGATCTTCACTGCAAACAACTTTTACTTAGGACTTAAAGTGGGTTAGTCATCTAAGAGAAGTGGGCTGAACTCAATATTTACTTACGACTATGGGTCTACTTGTAAACGGGCTTGGGCCTACTAATTAGTAGTACAGGGACCATTAATATAATATTTCTTATTGGGCCGGATATTCGTTCTAAATATTAGCCCATATAAACGACAGACAAAAGAATCAAATGATACAGTTAAAAAAAAAAAAAACATAATAAAGTTGTGCCTGTGGCTGATGGCTTGATGTTCTGCATCGTTACTTACCAAACAGAGCCCAGAGACAGAAGTATTAACTTGGCCCAGGTCCTAAAATGTTCCTAAAACCCTTTTCCTTCTCTCCCACAGGAAGGGTGGGTTTATTTCATCTTCTCCAGCACAAACCCAAAAAAAGAGTGAAAAAAAAAAAAATGGAGTTTGAGAAGAGAAAAGCAGCAACTTTAAGCTCACTAGCATCCTCAAAGACAGACAAATCACCTAAAGGAACAGTAGACGCACACATAATTCCACTCATCAACACCATCAACTCTCACCCTTCTTACTTCACCACCAGTTCCTGCTCCGGCCGTATCTCCATTCTTTCCCAACCAAAACCAGCATCAACACCTCCCGCCAATAAGAAGAAGGCACGTGGAGGATCCTGGCTCTTCATCTCCCACGACCTCGCCGATCCCAACTCTCTCCTTCCCATCCTTTTCACCACCGAGTCAACCCATTCGGCTGATGGGCACGTCGAATCAGAAACTGGGTCGGCTGCTGAGTCAGGAACCGAGTTGGTGTTCCGGTTTGAGCCATTGATTATTGCTGTGGAGTGTAGAGACATTGAGGCTGCACAATTTTTGGTTTCTTTAGCTATAAAGTGTGGATTTAGAGAATCAGGGATTACAAGTGCTAACAACAAGAGGGTCATTGCGGGAATTAGGTGTTCTATAAGAATGGAGGTTCCTTTGGGTGACAGTGATAGGATTTTGGTATCAGAAGAGTATGCGAGGTTTCTTGTTGACTTAGCTAATCAGAAAATGGAAGCTAATTGGAAGAGAACTCAAGGGCTTTTAAGTGGTTTAAGAGAAAATGGGTTTGTGGGGTCCTCGGTCTCGGATAACGGTGAGCATGAAGATGGGCATGATGATCAGTTGGAGAGAACAGCAAATGGGTATTCTCCTATTGGTAATTTTGATTATTTTTTTCAGTTTTTGATAATACAAGAATGGCTCAGTTTATGTCCTTGATAGAAACAAATGTCAAGTTTCGGACTTTGAAACTTCTGTATCTCTTGTATTGATTTTAGCATTTTCTTGGAATTCTGAATTTAGCTAGTTTTCAATGTGTAGATGATATGAATGTGATAATGTAGCTGTTTCATAGTGATACATATATGTCTGATATGTGAATTTTTTACATATCATATATGTGTGATTGCAGGAGACGTTTCGTTTTATTATGACAGCAAAGTTTGAGTCTTTGAATCATTGGCATTGGCAGGGATGGTGGGAGGAGTAGGAGAAGCCTCTGATTGCCGTCTATCTGCTTCTCCAATTGTAGTTGCTGGTGAACCTGTAGAGAAGCTTTTCCTTTGGGGTCACTCTGCTTGTATATTGGATAGGGGAAGCTACAACAGTGTTCTGGTATTTGGTGGTTTTGGAGGGATGGGAAGGCATGCTCGAAGAAATGATTGTTTGCTGCTTGATCCATTCGGTGGCAAGTTAAAAGCAATTGATGTTGAGGGTGCACCATCTCCACGATTGGGTCATACAGCTTCTTTGGTTGGTGATTTTGTTTTTGTTATTGGAGGAAGAGCTGATCCTTCCAACATTCTGAATGATGTATGGGTTCTCAATACAGCCAAATTGGAATGGAAGCTGGTACAATGCAATGGTAGTGTTTTCCCTCCAAGGTGAATTTTTTAGCACATTCATATTAATTTCTTCAGTTCACATTTTAATCTCCGTTCTTTTTGCCCTTTTGGTATGTGTATTGACTCCAAGTTTTATGAAATATTTGTCAAAGAAACAGAATTCTGTATCCCATCTTGCAAAACAACTGCTAATTTTGTTCACCTGTCTTTGCATCTTTGAAATCTCTTATAATTAGTTACTTAGAATCCATGTATGTGTATTTTTCCTTGGAAAGAATGATGTATTTGTGCTTTTGAATTCTTCATGTATGTTTTGCAGGCATCGGCATGCAGCAGCAGCAGTTGGCTCCAACATATATGTATATGGTGGACTTAACAGTGATACGATCTTATCATCCTTGCATGTTCTTAACACTGAAAATCTGCAATGGCTAGAGGTCTTGGTTAATGGGGATGGGGAACAGCCATGTGGTCGTCATTCTCACTCAATGGTGGCATATGGGGCTAAAGTATTCATGTTTGGAGGGTACAATGGCGAGAGAGCTCTTGGAGATTTATACAGTTTTGATGTCCAGACATGCATGTGGAAGTTAGAAAAGACAGCTGGAAGAAGTCCACATGCTAGATTCTCCCACTCAATGTTTGTCTATAAGAATTTTCTTGGAGTCATTGGTGGTTGCCCTGTTGGACAACATTTCCAAGAATTGGCATTGCTTGATCTGCAATTCCTTGTGTGGAAACATGTCACACTTGATTATATTGGCAAAGAGTTGCTTGTGCGCACTACAGCCAATGTTGTTGTTGATGATCTTTTTCTCATTGGTGGCGGTGCAGCTTGTTATGCCTTTGGAACAAAGTTCAGCGAGCCATTGAAAGTTAACTTGCTTCCGCTGGTTTCTTTAGGAGACAAATTTATGCCAACAGAGAAGAATGTCAATGCCAGAGTTTCTCATGTTGGAAATGTGGAGGCGTTAACTCAGAGTCCTGTCTTGAACTCTGAGGCTGAGAAGCATCTATTGGTTCCTTCTAACTTTGTACTACAACTTGAAAAGAAGTATGCAAAATTTGGGAAAGACATACTGAAGAATTTTGGATGGTTAGATCTTGGGAGGAAGGTTTATACTCAGGAGGATGGATTACATATCTGTTTTCCTGTCACTGAAAAGTTCTCTGCCATGTTTCTGGAAAAGCAGGATCTGGATGGGGATGTGTTTGAAGAGGGGAATGATACTTGTGTAGCTAAACCATTTACTGGAGGAATTTTGTTAAATCAGGTATCTTGTTCAACAGCCTTGAACTTCCTTAAGAAATGCGGTGCCACTAATTTAGCAGATGACGTTGGTGAAGTCAGAAAAACTTCAAAATCTCCATTCCAAACAATGAATGAATCAATTGCCTTGTTGATTAAACAAAAAGACCTAGCAGAAACACTATTAGAGCAGCTGCCAAACAGGTTAGTAGTCTGGAACTTTATATCTTTGGCATCTGTTGTTGTGCTGAAGTACTGTAAGTTGGGATCAAGTCACATTCATTACTCAGAAATACACTTCCAGAGATTGTAGCTCACAATTTTCTATCAATCAGCTTGACAAGTGACAACCTTTCTCTACATTCAGATGGGAGCGTCTTGGGGATATTGTTGTGCTTCCAGCAACATCGTTCAAGGATCCAAGATGGGACTCAATTGGCGAGGAGCTTTGGCCTATCGTAGCCAGATCACTTAATACTCGACGTGTTGCTCGCCAAGTATGCTATAACTTGAATGGTTTATAAGCTCCTTGCTTACAAATGATTTTTATTTTATTTTGTAATGTATCTTATTTAATGATTTGTTCTTGCGAAGCTCGTACTTCTTTTAGGCCATGCATTTGAAAATTTCTAACATGCTCAGGCTGTGGTATCCTAGATTGAATGGCAGGTGATAAATACTAGATGAAAGTAAGAATTTTTCTACTTGAGTTTGGAAATGTTGGCATTGATGCATGATTCTTATCATACTTTATTGAAGGATCTTTCGTTGCTGAAAGGATCTATATGCATAATCATAAGACAGCATTTTGCTATCGGTAGGATCTAGTTATACATACTTTTATTAGTTTGCTTGTATAAGCATTCATTCCTGCATTTCTATGTACAGGGACTGATTGTCAAGGCTATTTTAGTGCCATACTGCTATTTTTTTGCATCATCTTATTTCCAATGTGTTTAATTGACCATGTCACTGCTATGATATGCTCATAAAGAGTTGCCATAAAAATTTCTTGAATTTCAATTGATAATAGGTTTCTTAAGCTTATAAAAATCTGAAAGTATAGTTGATTCATGTATTCATTCTGTGAGTCTGATGGTACTTTAGGGACGAGTTGCATCCACTGGAACAAGGGACAGTACTTTGGAGATTCTTGTGGGAGATAATGGATGGGTTGATCATCGAGAAAATGGAATTCTCTATTCCTTTGATGCTACCAAGTGCATGTTCTCCTGGGGTAATCTTTCTGAGAAGCTTCGTATGGGCAATCTGGAGTGCAAAGATGAGGTTATAGTGGATTTATTTGCTGGAATAGGATATTTCACATTGCCATTTCTTGTCAGGTATCATGTGATTCATCTTAGTCTGCCAACACCTTCAATTGTGTTGGGATCTTTCTCTCTGATAAAAAATTCTGGTTGTTTCAAATTCAATTGTTCTTTTACTTTTCAATGTCTGGAGAATTAAAACTATGGGAAGATAATTTTTCAAAGGTTCAATGGTTGGTTTTGGCCTTGAACACCTCTTAAGTTTATTCTTTATCCAGTGGCGGAAGTTATTCGTTAGATGGTGCACTGTCTTAAAGTTTAGTTCAAGTCTACTGAATTACTAAGCTCACTTTTCATTGTTTCACTTTTGTTTCTATTTGATTTTGAGTTTTAATGATGTGTTGAGTAGGGCCAAAGCGAAACTGGTTTATGCTTGTGAATGGAATCCCCATGCTGTTGAGGCACTGAGACATAATCTTGAAGCAAATTCTGTCTCTGGTCAGTGTATTGTACTTCAAGGAGACAATCAAATGACAGCTCCTAAGGTACATTTTGCTCTGCTCATAGGTAATGTTTTGCCTGCAAACCACTTTATGGCTTTTTTTTTTTTTTTTCTGGGTTTGTCAATGTAGCATGCTTTTTCCTTTTCTTTGTTTTCCTTTTTTTGGGAAAGGGCGGGGGTCTTAGATTTTGTGATTGCAAGTTTTAAAATTTAAAGTTTTTGCACTTGGGTGCTGCTTCTCTGGTGTGAGTTGACTTGGTGTGTTTGTCTATAACTTGATACTTTCTTGATTTATGTGTCGAAGCATGCACCCAACTTTCAGGTTACCTGGCTTGATTCGTTAATGTGTTGGCTGCTATCCCATGTGTTTCCATAACTGACATCCTACCATGATAAGATGAGCATCGGTTACAAGGATGTTGTACCATTACGTATTCATCTAATTGCTTTGTTGCAGGGAATTGCTAATCGAGTTTGTCTTGGTCTTCTTCCAACAAGTGAGGGCAGTTGGGGTACTGCTGTTAGGGCAATAAGGTGATATATCCTAATATTATACATTGCTCTAGCTCAATGATCTAATCATGAAACTTTCATACCAAGTTTATTTTTAGCTTGAAACTTTCATCTTGACAAAATGTTTAAACACCCTTGGAGGTTTAAGCCACATTCGAAGTGAAAATTATTCACGGGGTTCATCCCCTCTGGATTGACCTATCTGAGCCTGTAATAGAATGCCTGTCTTCTCTCTCTCTCTCATGGGAGCACTGATATTGCAGGAGTGAGGGTGGGATGTTACATGTGCATGGGAATGTGAAGGACTCAGAGGAGTCTTTATGGACTGAACATGTTATGAAATCTATTGATGAACTTGCTAGATCCGAAGGTATGATCTTCTGGACTCAGGGTCTCCTCCTGAAGTTGATTTAGCAAGGTATGCAATGCCAAGGATGTCTAGGTTCACTCTTGAAATTTTTCTTCTTTGCAGGTCATTGTTGGGAGGTCTCAATAGAACATGTGGAAAGAGTAAAATGGTATGCCCCCCACATCCGCCATCTTGTTGCGGATGTGAGTTGCAGACAGCTTCTAAGATAACACTAGAAACATCGTCCTCAACCATGGTAACCAATTATTCTCCTGCCAGGAAAGTGGCAGGATTCTGACTAATGCCACATGTCAAACTCCACGCTGATCACCCTATGGTAAGACCCCTATTACAAACTGTTGCATTTAGAGCCCCAGCAGTTCAACATAGTTCTGAACATCCTGTGGATGCTGGAGAGATTATTAGTTCAAACTGATTCTTGCAGTTTCTATGTTTTGAGAGTAGAACTATAGAAGAATATAACACCGTAGGAAAGGCATTTGTTCTGTAACTTTCTTGATTTCTTCTCTTTTTTTTCCCCCTTTTTTCAGGATGAGACAATGAGTATGCTGCAATTGTACTAGTTTCCATGAGAAAACTTTATCTGATAGTGCAAACAACTTTATTTATGGTGCATTATCCTCTACTCTATCCTTTCCCTAATATTTCGTACGACAATTGCATGCACTTCGAAAGGTGAATGAAAGTTGCATGTGACCGTTAGTTGCTTTCTTTTGTTTGAGTGAATTATAGAAAGAGAGAGATTAGAATTTTCTGTTCTTGTCCTCTCTTCCCAAACAAACAGGCACCTTGGGACGAGCATGAGGTTGAACAGTCTTGGGCTCTGCTGAATGTACAATTTTAACTCTTTGTATGGCAGTGTGTGGTCACTGCCTCACTGGCCTGACCTTCTGGGATTAAAAAAAATTAAGCTCACATGCCATAGCTAGGCCCTTTTGTTACCTAATCGTCATTTTTTTTTAGTGAAATCCAATTGATTTGGAAGTTGGAACAGTACATTAGTTCTTAGTGTGAAGTTCATAAAACCATCCATGGCCAGCACTGCAGTGGTAGACATTCTAAAGTTGGCACTACTTGTGGTCCATGTCCTAAGAACTAAAGTTTTCTGAGTCCCCCCATGGCCTTGGCCCCAGCTTTTGCAAAGATGATCATGATTCTTGAGAAGGAACCACACACCATTAAAGAATCCAAAGACACAGGATGTTATCGGATTCATTTGGATGGTGTACTTCAACACTTGGCTACGTGTAAGAATCTACCTATATCTCAATCAGATTTTCTGTAACGTTATCTGTTTATTAAAATAGGGTAGGCCTCTTCTGCATAAATGTCATAGTCAATGCCGTAAGCAGAAGGTCCCTCACATTTCCTGGATCTTGAGGCAAGTGTCGATCAGTTAATGCACAAAGAAACAAATTTTGTTCAAGAGCTTGCTGTAAAGAATAGAGGACAAATCTACTGTTTCTTTTTCCGTTTTAAGGGTAAGGAAAGATTTTTGACGATTCTGCAACCTAGTAGTTAGCGAGACAGAAAATCATTGAAATGATCACAGTATATTGCAAAGATAAAAACCGACTTGTAATATGCTAATTTTTAAATTCAAATACTTTAGAGAAAGGATTTGATCCATAACCTCGTTTCGATTTCAAAGAATTCACTGCCATAACTAGGGTTTGATGCAGCAAATCCAACTGCCACCATTAAAGCAAAAGAATTCTTTAAGACACCTCAAAGTGGATCTAACCAAGGGTGGTAGAGATGTAACCATGGAGAAGCAACAGAGGGACTCCTAGTTAAGGTTGAGAAGACATTCATAGGGACAAGAGTCATGGGACTCACGAAGTCCATGATGAGTCATCACCACAGGCTGCTACACAAAACTTTAGTGTCGGTGGCCATCTTGGTGGGGATGAACATAAAACTTCAGTGTCGGTGGCCATCTTGGTGGGGATGAACATAAAACTTCAGTGTGGGGATGCTTCAGTTATTTAGCTTGGCTCCATCCATTTTGGCTCCTATAAAATTTCTCACAAGAAGTCATATCTAACCTTCTTTTGAGACGTTTTTTTGGTTCCTTGAGGTGGCTAGGGCAAACGGCCAATACCCCATTACTAGCAGCCTCGTCTCCTTCATGTGAAGGACTAATTTTTCTGTGGGTTAATGCATGAATGTTTTTCTATATAATCAATAGAAACAAACTTAGGTTATTAAAATTGCTTTGAGTAATTTTTATTTTTTTTAATTAGACAAATAGATATATCTTCGGATCATCTCATATATCAATTGAAATTAAATTTTTACGGAAAACAATTTTAAAATTACGTTTTTTATATTAATCTGGTGCATTCAGAAAATTAAAAAAGAGAGAACCATGATGATTTTTTTAGGGTTTGCATGAACAATAATGTGCAAGAATTAAGAAGGGCAATAATGAGAAAATGGGAAGCCATTATTTTAGCTTCTTTCCCAGAAGCCAAGAAGATGGGATACTAATAAACTATTAAGTTGCTTAGCAACTTGGCTAAATGTTTAATTTCAAATCAGTCTATTCAAGATTCTATTATTTGATTATGTTTATATAAAGCAAAGAAAATACTTTTTTTCATTTTTTTCCTTTTTTTTTTTTTTTTTTGGTCACTGTCCTTTCATACTCTATTATTTTTTGGTGGGGCATTACCATTCACAAGTACCACTTATTTACTATAAAGGGAATTAAAAAAAAAAAAAAAAGTGCCCTTCTTTCCAAAGATATCATACATGCTGGCCCGTGCAAAACAGTGGTGCAACCTTGCTTGAAAAGTACAGAAATGACCTCAACTTTGCTGATTCATGCTAACTTCCAAGATTCATCTTCCTTGTGAAGTTTGAATAAGGTGACTAATAGCATTATGAACCCTAATAATGCAACTTTAAGGGCAGCCCCACTACGAAAGTGAAAGTTTATGAATCTTTCTCTTTCACTGTTGTTTGAATATATATATATATATATATAGAGAGAGAGAGAGAGAGAGAGTGTTTTAAAACATAGCAGCGCTCATCTCCCTACACCTAGCACCAATTTTTTGTGAGTTTTTGCATAGGTTCTTGAATCATCTATGCTATGGCTATATTTTTATTTTTCCATCAACCAATAAGCTAGTTCCACTTAGCAATTAATAAAAATCTTGTTTAATTTCAAGGCTAAAAGGATTAGCCATTCTCAACTTTAATTTATCATAAATTGAATCTCATAATTTTTTTATTGATTTTGAGGATACCTGAATTTTTAATTTTTTTTCAGATTTAGTAATATTTTTTTGATTTTTATCATTTATCTCAAAAAATAAAAATCACATAAATAGTTTCGTGATGAAAATCACTAAATGAGATCTATGCGAAGCTTCTTAAAAAATTTAAAATTATTTTGAAGTTATTTTCTATTTTTTCTCAATTTTCTATATTTCTAATATTTAAAAAATAAAGATATATAGTTTTCCATTTTGAAAAATTCTGGATTTTTTTATTATAGAATGAATTGAATTTTTTTCAATATGTGTGCAAAATTTTATTTCATAGTAACAATAATTGATTTTTTATATGAAAAGATGATAAATAAAAGTCATTGCATAGATTAAATGTAAATAAATTAGAAGTTCATAGATTTTCAAAACCAATAAAAAAAAATTTATGAACTCAATTACTCAATTTCAAATAATTTACAATTTAGAAATGTTCAAACCTTTTACCCTAATTTCAATTCAACAGAGAAGATTATTTTACTTATGTATATTTATTGGAATGGATTTTTGAATTCTAATACTATGTTACAAACCCCACCTTTCATGTCTGTCTTTTGTTGTGATTTTATCGATGTCCTTTGCAAGTAAGACAGCAGAAAGAGTATCGATCACAAGCTTAAGTGACTGTTAAGGAAAAGAAAACATAAGAACTTACCATAAACACATGAAACAACTTTGTTTACCCTTTTTCCTTTTTTTCCAACAATGCATTATTATGATAAGTAGTTCCCACTTTCTTTGCTTTACATTAGAGTGTATAATTACTCTAAATCAGTAGTAAGTGGGTTTGTTTTTTATGTTATTATTTCAAATTCAAATTTAAAAAAAAATCATGTAAGATAATTTTTAATCTATACATTAATCTATATTTAGATGATTTTTCTAAAAATCGAGTGAAAGTGTTAATAAAAAGTTGGTCCAAAACTATCCTTTAAAAAAATAAATAAAATTATTCTCTTCGTCTTTTTTTTTTATTTGTCTCAAAATATTTTTTTAAGTGGTGCTTTTTTTTTTAAATACACTTAATTAAAGTCTATTTTGTAATAAAAAAAAATTCCAAATTCAATTCTAAAAAAAAAAATAAACTTAGAAAATATGAATAAAAAATACCGATGTAAAATAACAATTATTAACGTTTTTAATGGAGTTTTCTCAAATTTGGATCATATATTTTTTTATTGAAATTTTATACTCTTTTTTAGTTTGATTAAAACTTTTTATTTTTTGGGATTTGTTATTTTAGACCTTCTGTTACAATGTCATTATTTAGTCATCGACACGTGATATTATAAAAGAAAAAATCTCGATCATGTGTCGATAAATAATATGTAGCATTATACTTAAGGGTTTGAAGCAACAAATCGCGAAAAGTAGAAAATTTCAACCAAATTAAAAAAAAAAATCGTTTTAATGAAAAAAAATTTAAAAGAATGCAGTATCTAAATTTGGGTGAACCGATGTTTAATCTATATAAAAATCAAATAAAAAAACTTTAAGAGTAACGTATACGATGCCAGTGCATGTTTAAGTCCCTTGTCTGATTATCTACAGATTGCGTGCAATATATAGAATTTGATGAAATCTACCTAGATTTGCTTACTTCAAGATCTTAATTTGACTCTAATAGTCACACTATTACCAAATAAAGTAATTAATACTCCTAGTAGTTCATCCTTCAAATTCCAAGAAGCTACAAATAAATTTATGGTTGAAAATTGGTTAAAAAAATAATGGTTCAGAATGACTATTTTACATTTAATTTTGCCTCTTCTATCACGAAACCATCCAAAATATATAAATGACATATTAGCTAAATAATACAATAATGTTCTGAATTTTCGGTCAAATTAAGATAAGTTTCTAATATTTAAAAAGGTTAATTAATTTAATTATCATGAATTATTTTTTTATAAATAATATGTTTTTCTGTCAGTTTTTTCACAGAGATCATGTGATAGTTTAAAAAAATAAAAAATAAAATGTGTTTAGTTAAATTTAATTTAATGTAAAAAAATAAAAAATAAAATGTGTTTAGTTAAATTTAATTTAATGTAACTCGTGTCATTTTTCAAGATTATTACATGATCTACATATGCAGTCAGCATCAAAAAAATAATAGAAAAAGATCAATTATTTACTAAAAAATAGTTCATAATAGTTAAATTGATGTTTTTGAAGGTCCAGATCTTAGTTTATTTTTACAAATCAATCAAATAAAAGGTTTTTATATATAATAGAGTGATTAATTCTAAGAGTTTTATTTTAAAAAAAAATTATCAAAAGAATAAATTAAATATTTAATATATATTTAAGATTAAAATAAAATCAATTAGGGATATAATAACAGATGGAAAATTTATAAATTATATAGTAACAGATTGAGCCATTAACAACAAAGAAAAGAAAACTCTTAAATACTTGAGTCTGTTAGGAAGCAAATGCAGTAACTTCTTTCAGCATCTTCTATGAACTCGAGGACAAAATTTCCCAACTTTTAACACAAAAAGATAATAAAATACATGATTATCAGTAAATGCATAGATGGTCAAAAGGGCAAAAGAATCAAACTCAAAAGACCAAAATTTACTTTAATTGCCACAACTCTCTCTTATTTTATTTGGAAATTCATCCACCAATTCTTTATTTAAGAAGTAGAGCCCCGGAGAGATTCAAAGCAAACTGGTCAGTGACCTACAGTGAAGAAAAACCAAAAAAAAATGGGTGCTAAAGCTCTCTTCTTCTTTGCTTTGTTATCCTTCTCAGCTGTGTCTTTCAGGCCAGCTCTTGCAGAAACTGAAGAAGACCCTGGTCTTGTTATGAACTTTTACAAGGATACATGCCCTCAAGCTGAGGACATTGTCAGAGAACAAGTTAAACTTCTTTACAAGAGACACAAAAACACTGCATTTTCTTGGCTAAGAAACATCTTCCATGACTGTGCTGTTAAGGTAAATTCTGCTACTATCTCTCTTTTTTCTGTCTCTGCTTTAGCTCTTTTTTGATCATGCATGTCCTGTTTTGTAGTCATGTGATGCTTCACTGCTGCTGGACTCAACAAGGAGGACCTTGTCTGAGAAGGAGACAGACAGGAGCTTTGGCCTCAGGAACTTCAGATACTTTGACGATATCAAAGAAGCTGTTGAAAGAGAGTGTCCTGGAGTTGTTTCCTGTGCTGATATTCTTGTCCTGTCTGCTAGAGATGGCATTGTTTCGGTACTTCCCTAATCAGTCAAGTCTTCCATTCTCTTAAGGGATTTTTCTGATCCTCTCTGTTTGGTCTAGAAGGAGACATGCTTTTTTTAACCAGATTTTGGACTCTTTGTTGTTTGCATGTCAATTTTACTCAATTTGTTGCCTCCAGTTTCAGCGACTATTTTAGACAAGACTTGTGATGTTTAGTCTATTTTAGCTTGTAAATGAAGGGTTTTAAAGAGATGTCGTAGGGTTATTGCAAAAATTTGTCTTAGAAATTTAGTGCAATGAAGCCCAGTACTTTCATAGTAAATAGAGGTTTAATGTGGCCTAAAATTTTCTTGATTTCAGCTAGGAGGACCTTATATCCCTCTCAAAACTGGAAGAAGAGATGGCAGGAAGAGCAGAGCAGATGTGATTGAAGAACACCTCCCTGACCACAACGAAAGCATATCTGTTGTTCTTGACAGGTTCGCTGCCATGGGCATTGACACCCCCGGAGTGGTTGCCTTGCTAGGTACATATACAAATAAGCCACAAATTATAGTTTTACAGTCATGAATCCAAGTGTCTTAAGTACTAAAAATTTGGTTTCTTTTGTGTCCAACAGGAGCTCACAGTGTTGGTAGAACCCACTGTGTGAAGTTGGTTCACCGTTTGTACCCAGAAGTTGACCCAGCACTAAACCCTGCCCATGTCGAGCACATGCTTCACAAGTGCCCCGATGCAATCCCAGACCCTAAAGCTGTCCAATATGTGAGAAATGACAGAGGCACGCCCATGATTCTAGACAACAACTACTACAGAAACATTTTGGACAACAAGGGCTTGTTGATAGTTGATCACCAACTAGCCAATGACAAGAAGACTAAGCCCTATGTTAAGAAAATGGCCAAGAGTCAGGATTACTTCTTTAAGGAATTTTCTAGGGCTATCACCATTCTTTCTGAGAACAACCCACTTACTGGCACCAAGGGTGAGATCAGAAAGCAGTGCAATGTCGCCAACAAGCTCCACTAGAAGCTTTGATTTGCTCCCATGTCAAGCTCAAGTACTTTTCTTCTTTGTTTACAAGGAGCAAGAAGAGTCTTGAGAATTGCAGAATAAGATCTTCTCTTTAGAGAAATGGGCAGTTGTTACTGCTACTGAGTGGCAATTAAGATAGTTCTGGTGTCTATGTTCACTTAAATGCTCTGTTTCTAGCCTAGCGAGGTCTGCTCCTCTTGTTATTTTCAGTTGTGAGATTACTGTTGGTGATGGGCATGGTGGGATGATGAGATGTATCATGTATGTATAGATGGATGGTGGTGACGGTGTGTATGGTGTATGATGCATGCATTTGCATTGATGATAAGTTATTGATGATTCATGTCTATATGTTTCTATCACGTGAGATCACCATTGATGGCTTCTGCCATTTTGAATAATTTAATCGACTTGGAATTTAATGGACAAGCAGCTCCTCAACCACAATGTTGGTAGATGACTTTAAGCAAGATGGATGCATAAAATAAGGCAATAAAAGATTTAAGAAAGAACAAAAGCAGGGCGGCAAGATTCTCTTATCTAAGAAAAATGTTTATTTACCGATTTTTATGCACTGCAAATATCCCCCTTTTGGTGGGTAAAAGAGACAAATAATGCAGTTGTGGGGGTGTAGTGAAGAGGTGTCGGTCTCACTGTCTCGTGCTCACAGACACTTGTAGAGAAAGGAGGGGAGCCATGTGAGAGAGAGTGAGTGATTAATGCAGGAAATGATGGCTTCTTCAGCCCTACTTTCTCTTTGTACGAAGTCGTTACATTTTGAAGGCGTGAAGCATCGTGCATCATGTTGATTGATGTTTCTCAAGTATTTCCCATATTTCAGAGGTTGATGGTTTAGATCGTAGTGATACTGAGGATAAGGCTGCGTAAACTTCACTGGAAAGAATTCCAAGGCCAATGAATAAGTAGAAAACTTGGATCCACTTACTTAGATCAAATTGGATGCCAAGCTAGGGAAGCAGAGCCTTTTTTGTCATCACTGAACTTTCCAAAATGCATCTATCTTACAGCCAAATTAAGTATATGCTAATGTGGGAGGCTGGAGATTGTCTATTTCATAGTTTTCAGAGTGAGATGCACGGTTTCGAATAAGGGCCATTGCATACTTGGCTGTTGTTATCTAACAAATTTGGACGTTATACATCATTATAGAAAACAGTGACATTTCATATAAATAGCAGCATTATACGCTATTGTTGTTATATAACGTCGTATTTAGTGAATAACGATCGTTATATTAAAAAAATTATGATTCTTTATATTATATTATTGTTTGTATGATATTAAATTATTAAAAATATGTTATTATTATGCTTTATTAGTAAAATAATTAAAAATAAATGAATTAGAATAAATAAATTTATTAACAAATGCGAATCTGATAATGAATTAGAATAAATAAAGTTATTAACAAATACGAATCTGATAATGCATTTATAATATTGATTATCGTGATTATTATTTTATTACTCCGATAAGCAGTGACTCGTTATCGCGATCGTGATTCTTTTTACAAGCAAGTTTGCGATTTAAAACTATGGTGAGATTTTTCACTTAAAAACACATTTGATGCCAGTTTATGAGTTCAGAATTCTTTACCTTAAAACCAAGGCAATCATTATACTGTAGTAAAAACAGAATTGTAAGCAGTAATCCAAGAAATTTTTTTGGGAATCCAAGGACCAAGAATTGAGCTATGAAGGGAAATAACCCTAAGCCAATTAGTCGCAGTAACCCAGTAAACATGGATTTCTTGATTTTTGTTAATCAAGTAAATGACCAGACGGAATCATGCTTATTTAATTTTCTTCAGACACAGATCCAGTTCATATATATATTGTTGAATGATGCAATAGCAAAGCTGCAACATTTCTCAGAACCATGTTTTACTATGAACTTAGGGAAACTTGCATGGAACATTAAACTTGAAAGTTGCATTACATATTACTAGCAGTGCAAGAGAAGAACAAAAATGCACCACATTGCAACTTTCTTTGATAAGATTATTTCCCAGCAGTGAAAGACAATGTACATGAAAGACACATTTATAGCAACTCATCCATTACTTTCAGCTTGCTAATGCAGCTTTGGTTTCTGTACTGCTTGAAATGTTATCAGAGTCAATATCTGATTCCTTCAGGGTCACATCGTTCTTCTCGTTCTTTTCTGCCACTTTGGGAATTAAAGAACTGAAGGAAGGATGGCTGTAATAAGGCTGATGGTGTATGGAAATGTAGTTTGCAGTAGACGGAAAGGGTCGATAACCATATGCATTGGCGTAAGGACTCGGAGGAAATGCAGTTGGTGCAGACCAATATATCATAGGCATGAAACTATTTGCAGGCTGTGGTGGGAACATATGATATGCGGTTTGGTCATGGTAAGAGACATTTGGACTGTTAATTGCTTGGCTTGGGACTGGAGATGGAGTTTGAGAAGGGATGGGATGGAATGCTGCCATTGCATGAGTTTGCATTGAGGAGTAACCCATAAGCCCAAATGGGGTGAAAGGTGCAGAGGTTGATGGTGCAGACTCTGGAATTGATGATCTTGGCAAATTATGAGGCTTACTTGTGGAGTTTGATTGTTTCTTGCCCTTTGGTTTTGTTGAAGTTGTTTTCCCTGTTAACTTCTCAGAGCCTGGACTGGCCTGCTAAAGAGCACGAAGTAACAAAATCAAATTCAAGTAATTCAAAGTTTGTAAGGGATCTCCGAAAGGTTCTAAATGGTTTAATTTCATATTTTACTCAGAAGTTATAATCTTACTATATCACAAGTCTTTTCCTGTGGAAGAAATAACTCCTCTTCGTCAGCGTCTTTATCGGTCCTGCAACAGCAAATTTGTGCATTATGTGAGTAATGTTCTCGAAGATGAGGCAGTTTAAGAGTCGATCGGTAGGCGTTGAGCAAAGATCATGAAAAGCCAAGAGGTAATTTTATTATTCTTCAGAAATCCTCAACAGATATTCTGAACGGTCCTGAGTCCGGACCTTTTCCTGAAGTCCTTCCAAACGAATCAGACGAGATGGTTCATCGGATTGTGCATGACCATGTCAATCAGTGTTTACAAATTCTTATGTTCAACTTTATAGTGCTTACAGCAAAGATAAGGCAATATTCAAACTGAATTTTTAAGCATTTATCTACCTGTAATATTTTTGCAGCAATTCTAAGTTCCGGTACTTGGTTTCCTTTTGAACCAGGTCATCAGGAAAACCAGCCATGAATAAAAGTGTAATTCCTAAGGCCTTGAAGAAGAAGCTTCCACTTCGGATGTGGACTAGCATTGCCACCCGGCACATAAGTGGCCCGAAAGACTTAAGTTTGTTTCTTCCCATGCGTTGCCTGACATATCTGGAAAAAATTGATACTCCAGATATCCTCAGGTTAGGCTACAGAAGGATATAATTACTCAAAAAGAACCTGGCGGAAACACTAAAAGAGAAGTACTTACTCGTTTTGAGGAAGATTTCTTGTCCTGCCACCATACTTAATGCAAAGAAATAAGCATGATGGGCAACTAGGATCCGATGGACGCATGGCCTTCTCCTCCTCGAGTATCCGGACAGGACATAACATCGGATTTTGCCGATTTGGATAAAATATTTTCCTCCGGATTCCTGGATTCTCATATAGCACATGCTCCTGTCAACAGATTATTTCTATTGTGATTCACATTCCAAATGGTAGAGATACAAGATTAACATGACTTATTAAAAGTAAGCAAAGACTGCTAGTAAGGACAGAAACTGACAGGAAAGAGGACTAAGTACTAATTCTGAAAGCATAAGCATTCTCATTGTAGCCATTTAGCAACTGTTCTGATACCATAATATGGAGAAGAAAAACGAAACATTTCAAAAGTGAATCGCTTACCCCTGAATCTTTCGGTGATACATACTGTTCACCCTTCCGTAGAATGCTAAAGTGATTGAAGTCTAATTCATACATATCATCACAACCATGCCTGATACCTAGAGATGCAAAAACTATTATTTTTCTTATGGTGTGAGACTGAGCATTTCTCAATAGAAGGACTTCGGACTCAAGTATCCTCTTTACTTCCTTGGGACAGAAAGCTATCTTTGGAGGCTTTCTAAGCAATGATACACGGCCAGGTCCAGTATGACAAGCCTCCTTCGATGGAAAATCATCTGCTGGTGTCTTGTGAATTTCATTATTTTTAATTTCTTTGTTTTCAGGATTTCGAACGTCTGCGGAATCATGGACTAGTTGTTTATCTGGTGGAAGACAACCATTTTTTCTATCTTCATTTCTTGTTTGGTTCGGATGTTGAAATGTTTGCTCACTCTGTCCACCAAAGGAACTTTCAAAACGTGACAAGTTCATTGCCTCACCAACACTATCTTCATGAAGAGTTTCTTTTAGTCCAATGGAACCCACATGGGCAACATCCATTTCTCCATTACTGTCGTCGATTTTATTAAGAGCTTCTACAAATTCATCTTCTTCATCGGTATCATCTGTGTCATCACAGTCTGCAACAGAGTCGTCATCTTTCAACTTCACAATCTGTGAAAATTGAGTCTCATCCATGCTCATCCAATTGACTAAGCAGTCTTCAAGATTTGCATTTTTTGAAGGACCATGGAATTGAATCTCGTGATTTATCTGTGAAACCACTTCAACATTCATCACATTTCCATTTTCAACATCATTTCGGCTTACTTCAAATTTTTGCCTTTTGAACTTCTTAAGGCTTTTTTCGGTTGCATTGATACAGCTGCCCTGAGAATGAACAAAAGACTGTCCATTATGATTGATCTGCATTGTGTCAAGTGAAGGAATCTGGCTAACAGAACAAATATCTTAAATTCAGATGTGAATAAAAGACTAAGTGCTTAAATTGGGAACAATTTAGACAACCAACGTGTTGTGTAAGTCCACAGGTTCGACTGAAGGATAAAGTAGTTACTACATTAATGGCAAGTAGGAAAGGTGCTTCATCCAAGAACTTGAACATTTTCTGCATTTGCAGAAGTTCCAATGATCGCATAATTTATCAGTAATTTCTTCTGCAGATGGCACATTGGATCATTGATCAAAGGCATTGACAGAGTACTCATCAGAAACAAAAAATGTTAGATAGATAGATGGATAGATAGATAGACACAAAAAAGTGATCACCAGAAAAAGGGAAAATAGAAATTTCAATTCAAGACATTAACCAGCCATTCATGCTTAAACTATTATTGATTATTTGCAAAAGAAAAGAACATGAAGCATCTTTGATAGGCTAGACGATTTAAATATGAGATTGATGATCGTACTTGTGTGTGTGTGGTAAAGGGCTCCTTATGATCTCTTCTTTGTATCTGAGCTTCAAGTACTGATATTTTCTCCATAAGCTCAGCATTCTTTTCTCTTTCTCTTTGTAGTTCTGCAGATATCTCTGCAATAAGATTGACAGTACTCTCTTCTTTCACTTCTTGCTCTATTGCACACAGTGCAGAAGCATTGACCAAGCTAGCACATGACTGAAGCTCCACCATTGAACACAACAGTATAAAAAGGCTATATTTTTCAACCCTATAGCCTTGAACTAATTATCAAAGAATGTAAGAGATACCCAACCATCAAAAACACAAAGAAATGCTTCAAAGATCGAAACTTTCGGAAGAAACAAACATCTAAAAGCAAAACCTATATGAACAAAGTGGTTTTGTGAAGCAAAAACATAGGCTAAAGACTATAATAATGTCAAAAAGAAGTTCATCAAAGAGTTAAAAAGAAGGAAAGAGGGCTGTTTATAACTTTGAAAGTTGGAGTAGAATGTTAACAAGAGAAGTAAACGGGAGACTTAGAAGAGAAACAAGGAGTCCTTTTTGGGTATCGATTTTCTGTTTTGGTTCTGTAAAAGCAAAAGAGAGCGGCGAGAGGTGAGGCATGCAATTCCACGTGCGTTCTCTCTTTCTCACACTCCTTTCGTTTTCTTAAAGTTACTCAAAATCAACAGAAAAAACCTTCATCTAGTTTAGAGGTTGGTTGAGTTGAAGTTACTAGGTTACGAGAAAGAAATTATTCGGAAAAAGCTTTAACTTGTCTTTGATTATATCCGATAGATAGACCTAGTCTCGATGATGGATCAATGACTAAACTAAATAATGTTTTCGGATAGATAGGCTAATCCATGACTAAACTGATTTTCATCTCGACGTAGTTAACTTGCACTGATTAGATCGGATAGATAGACCTAGTCTCGGTTGTGGCTCAATGACTTGACATTACTAGATCAAACATGAAGCCAATGTCTTAGGATTCCTTTGCTTTGATCTCACAGATCAAAGTCATTAACATTTACAAGAACGCACTTACTCTTGAAATAGCAAGTCTCCATATATTTAAAGGCTGTATTTTATCAGTACAACTTTGTTTAAGATGGTGCATTGTGCTTTCTTGTCTTTGTCTTAGGATTCATGGCCTCATATTTTATAGTCTTTTGGGAAGAAAATGATCTCTTAGTTTATTGGAAACAGTTTGCAATTCTGATATAATTAATACGACGATGTCTTGTTATACAAGTGGTGTGTGTCTGTGCCCCATTTTTGAGCAAGCTAGGAGCATCCTAGGCATTCATCATGCTATTAATCAGATAGATAATAATATATAATTCTACCACTCTAACATGTTTTGCTAATTAACTTAATCATATTCTATAACAACAACAGTTGCTAGATTCCAAACAGTACAAAAGCATGTTGTTAATGGAGAATGTGGACAGTCATTGGCTACTCCTACCACTCTCGATCTGTTCAGATGAACAAGATTGATGTTCTTGCCCTTCTTGGTGTAACTAAGCTTGGTAATGAGGTCTTCCATTAGCCCTGTCATTTCTATGCACACTTTTTACTTTGAAGCCAAAGTTTTGAGGCAGGAATGGACTTGAACACATTCTTCTTTTGTGCCCTAAGCCTTGATTCTCGTTACCAACACTCCACTCCATTCTTTGATATTATTTGTAATACTATCCATTTTAAAATATTCACTCCCATTAATCCTTTTTGTATATATATTTATAGATAATGAGATAATTTTAGATCAGTTTTTGTATCAATCGAAATTAAATCTATCATTTTTTAAACTAGATTAATGCCGGATCATACTTAGTTTTTTATCGATTTTAAAAATCAAACTATTTGAATCTACCAACAGTCCATATCTAATGTCATAGAAAAAAAATTTCAAAAATAATAATCGAACTCCCGACTTGAAAAATGATATTCATTTCTGATCGATTAACAATCGATTTTGTTAAAAAACAATTTGGGATAAATATTTTAGGATGAATAACTTTACTAGTTGTTCGTTGTACATATGGATACACGTTCGTCCTAAAATATTTTAGCCCATCATTTCTATGCACAACTTTTACTTTGAAGCCAAAGTTTTGAGGCAGGAATGCACCTGAACACATTCTTCTTTTGTGCCCTAAGCCTTGAATCTTGTTAGCTACACTCCATTCGTGGATGTTATTTGTTGAACAGAATAATACTATTCATCCTAAAATATTCAAATTAATGTTTTATATACATATACGGACATATTTTTAGATCAATTTTTACATCAATCTTAGATTAGCATTAAATCACGTTTAGTTTTTTATCGATTTTAAAAATCAAACTTTTTAAATCTATCAATAATCTATATCTAATGTTACACAAGAAAAAATTTTCAAAAATAATAATCGAACTCCTGATCAATCCTAGATTAACATCAAATCATGTTTAGTTTTTTATCGATTTTAAAAATTAAAATTTTTAAATTTATCAATAGTTCATATTTAATGTTACATAAGAAAAAAGTTTTTAAAAATAATAATCGAACTCTTGAAGTAAAAAATGATATTGATTTCTGATCAATTTAAAATCCATCTTGTTCAAAAAAAAAAAAAAACAATTTGGGATAAATATTAATTTTAGGATGAATAACTTTACTAGTTGTTCATTGTATGTGGACACACGTTGCCCATCATTAAGAGATGTGCCCTAATTATCAATGAATAAATGAGAATGGACATGGACTAATGATTATAAATACTGCAAAATGAAAAGGTCTAGCTGCCGTCTGTCTTGACCAGTGAGTCCATGACCCTTTTTCCTATGTTTAAAGGCATAAAGAAACAGTGTGCACACGTGCATATAATTTTTTTAACCTTAATTTTCACAATATACCAACCCAACCTCACGTGGAAAGGTGACCCAAATGCTTGTCTCTAATGAAATTTTGTGTCAGGGGAATATGAAGCTAAAAACCTTGGATACCCATCCATCTAATTTTTAATCATGGCAAAGCAAGCTTCTTAATTTATTTTATGAGGAGACTAATCAACCCCTCAAAGATTGAAAATCCGTTTAATGACATAATTTACTCTCATATTATTAGGATTGTAAAAAAATAAAATTTATATTATCGAGTTTAGATTATTTGGATCTCCAACTATTAATTTTTTAGCAAAATTTATTATTTCTTGTTATGTCTAAATGTCAAAGTGTCTACCATTAGCTGAAATACTTAAAACGATATTGTTTAAAATATTTAATTTTTTTAATAATTAAAATTAATTATATATATATCACTAAATGTATCTATTCACATCATCAATTATCCAATAACAAAAGTCAAATCTATAAACCACAAAATCATCTAAACTTCTTTAAAACTAACTATTATTAAATGTCTTTTTTTAAAATAATTTTAATTCTAAAAAAAAAACTTAAATTTTTAAAAGATATATTTTTAAGTATTTTAGTTAATGATCTACACTTTGATCGTCAAACATAACGAGAGAATAATAAAATTTACCTAAAAATTAATAGTGTGAGATCTAAATAAACTTAAATTGATAATATAGATTTTATTTTATCACAATTCAAATAATTTGAAAGTAAATTCTGTCATTAAACCACTGAAATTCTTAATGATTAAGGGATTTGAAACCAGGGCAAGTTGGTCTAACGACATGGGGATGCTCAGTTAATTAATAGGCTTTAATCAGTCATCTTTATGATTTATGAAAGGTGTGCCTGAGAAGGAATACGAAAAGTCATGTAATGAGCAAGCAACTCCTCTTAATTTGCTGGCTTTTCTAGTTTATATTACTGTATAATGTAATATAATAACTGAGATAACCTTAAAGGGCATGCAAGTTGATAATAGATTATGTTTTGTTATTCTAGTGATTTGTGCTTAATAAGGTTAAGCATATTGATGTTAAGTTCTGATGCTCCGTATTGATTAGTTTCACATGATGTCTGATTCATGTTTTTTCTAGCTTCGAAAGGGGGGTTTTTTTGTGGTTTGATTAGTAACCTGTACCTTTTTTATTTTTTATTTTTATTTTTTTCATTCACTAATGACAGTTTTTCTCATTAATAATTAGATTTCGTATCGCTAATCACGTTGTTTGATGTTCATCCCATTCTCACAACACCTCCATGATTTTTATTAGGAGGTTTAGGGTGGAAGACCACCTCTTTTCCTATTGTAAATTGGTCTATATGATAGTTTGAATTTTTAATTTATCTTTAGGATTTTAATTGCCTCTATTGTATCTTTTAATATTGCCTCCATGTGAGTCCTTTTTTTTAAGTATTTTGATCAAAAAAATTATTTATTATCAGAAAAATTGATTGAAAAAACAAATTAAAGACTTAAATATTATGTAAAAACATACAGATATAGTTAAAAATATAAAGAGAAATTAAATTATTATATAAAGACAGACAAATTGAGCTATTTATTCTTTTTTATCTTTTTTTATAGTCCAAAACCCATTGAGCTGTAGGAAAATTGTTCTAAAAGTTTCAGATATAGACGCTTACAGTTAGGTTTTTTTTTTTTTTTTTTTTTAAAACGACTCCAGCAGAAAATCCATGTGAGTGATATGCTTCTACTCGTCGCAATTTGGCAATCCATGCATAAGTTCCATTGATCACAGGGATAATTTTGTTGTTAAATAGAATTTTTTTATAAAAAAAACGTTGAACAAATCCAAGAAAAACAGAAAGATCTATTTTGGTTGCCAAAATTCATTTTGATCTTTCCTGTGTTAAGTAGCAAACAGACGCTGCCGTTGTCTATAATAGCTGGCAAGCATGGTGACAGGAAAGGTCCACCAGCGTGCAGGTTCTTCAAGAAAAATCAAACTTCTTGCCAAGTGAATCCAAGAAAAACAGAAAGGTCATTTCTTTTGCTGTAAACACGCAAATCATGCCACGCAAAAGGGAGAAAACTGCAGAGATTCTTGGCCCCCAGTTACAGACCAGAACTCATTGGATCTGAAGTGATAAAAATGAGCTATTTTTCATCTCTTCCCACATGATACCAAGAGCTGATCTACCACCGAAAATCTGATGGCTTGGTGGTGATTGATCAATGCCACCAATGAGTTTTTAAAACCCACATAACAACATATTCACACTGTTGTGTGAGGAACAAGGAAAGAAGGCGGCGAAGCACTCCCAAAGAAAATAGCACTGGAGTTTATTCATTATCCACCACAATTTGTCAAAAGGAGTATTCAAATAAAACTCGTTGGAAAAAAAAAACGAAGTGAAAAGGGAACCAGAAAATGGAACAAACAAGATACTAGATATGCACAAACATTACAACGCAAATCCAAGCAATCCAAATGCGTGCTCAAAGTGCCAGTTTTTGGATTCAAAATGGGAAACTGAACAGTGTATTACTGCATTCTCAGTGAGATTGCTTTGGTTCTTCTAAACTCTTTTAAGGTAATAGTTCTGCTCTCACCTTTATAATTAAAAGAGCTTTCCTGCATGCTGAGTTCCACTTCTCATCATTGCACAGAATTCTTCGTAGTTGATCCTCCCATCCTGTTCATTCCCATGATATTATTATTAACAAATACTTGTTATAAGTGTGACAAATGTTCGATTTACTATGACCACTTACATTATCTGCATCCACCTCAGCAATTATTTCCTTAATGGTGGCTTCATCTCCCATTCCGTATTCCTTCATCGCTGACTCTAATTCATCCCTTGTTATATACCTGTAATGAAATTTATGACAATGAACTTTTTTTTTTAATTGAATCATCTAACATGCTGCCTTCCAAAAGCTGCTAAAGCATAGTTTCCTGGCAGAATCTAGTTTTGCCCCTCGTTGTAATAGTTACTAACTAAAGTTCCTTATACGTGTATGATATGATCAGTAATCGCTTTTAAGTACAAACTAAAAGGGAGAAAGTATGATTAATCTCACTTTTGCATTCTACTAGTTGAAACTGACCAAACAGGGGAAATATATAAAATCAATGATTTCCAGACAAGAAATGTGGCTATTATGAACAGGAAATGTAGGTATTATGAACAAGGGGAAAATGAGAACTCACCCACTGCTGTCCTTATCAAAGTACTGAAATGCTTTAAATAGGTGCTCATCTCTTTCCAACTTATATCTATGCATAGTCGCGGAGATAAACTCAATGTAGTCAATGGTTCCATTTCCATCCACATCAGCCTGAAGCGTATAACATAATCAGACTATATGAGTAAGAGGTAAAAGCCATAATCAGAAAATTCAGTTGTGTTGGGGCCACTATTGCTTACAGCTTCCATGAGTTGCTTGACTTCAGCTTCAGAGAGCTTTGACCCGAGGCGAGCCAAACCTGTCTTCAGTTCTTCATAGGTGATGGTGCCACTCTTATCAGTGTCCATGTTTGTGAACATTGCTTTAAGACCTTTAATTTCATCTTCAGAAAGATTTTCAGCAATAACCTACAGGATAGCCAAAGGATAGACTGTTATGAATTGAAGACCAAAAACAATCCAATGTTCCAATCCAGACTCTTATCACACTCAGAACTTGGAAAATCTATCATAGAATTTCTGTTGTTATTAATGAAGTAAATACACCTTACACTTTTTCAACTTCGATAATGACACGAGAGAATACATTATTAAACAATATTTGAAACGTGAAACTGCAGGAACATTGAAGGTAAGTGCTTTCTTAATACAGCTAATGGCCAGTAGAACGAAAAGCCCCTGTGTTTTTTAAACCTTCAAAGGATCTATCGGTAAGAGGAACAATCGGTTCATATAAACTCTTGTAGATGTATAAAGGATACAGTTGCAGGATAGCAGTCCATAAGTGTCCACACAGGAGATAAGTCTTGGGAAATGGTTGCTGCGCATTTTTAAATTGGAAATACAATAAGAACATTTTAAAGTCAAGAGACAGAATAAAGACCAAAAACATTCATTTAACCACTGTTGTGACCACCTATAGTCTATATGTCATCCAATCCCACTGAAATACGCAAATAAATCTCCTATGAGAAAGTATCTCCTGTGCCTAGGGTCTCCAAATCTGAACTCTTTGATCTCTAGACAGAAAATCAGATGTAAAGGTCCGAGGCATTGAGTGACATCTGTTGTGCTGATAGGTAGTTAATAGCTATGGAAAGTAGAGTATATGAACATATACACATGTCAAACCCTGTTAAATGAAATGCAATAAGCTACAGTAACTCTTCTTGGTATAATTATATAGTTTTTGAAAAATAACTTCCACACGTAATCAACAAAGTTCATTCAACCAGAGCACTTATAGACACATAAGCAAATACTTTAGAGGATAACAAAGAACCACAACACGTTTTTTAAGAAAGAATCATAAGAACAATAAGGGCGTCTCAGATAACTTAAAATTTTACCTTCAAAGCAAGCTTCTTGAGCTTATTCATTGCCCTGAATTGTTTCATTCTAGAGAGAACAGCACTATCTATTGGCGTGTCAGCACCTCCTTCCTTAATCCATGGATGATCTATCCACACATGTGAATTGATTTTAGGCACACAGGCATGCAAGTGCAGCATAAAAGTCAGATGTGATACCAGAAACTGCTAAAAAGATAAAGCTTCTTACCAAGAACTTGTGCAGAAGTGATTCGCTTTTTAGGATCCTGAGTCAACATCCTCCTAACCAAGTCTTTTGCACTGTTGGTTATTGAAGGCCATGGTTTACTTTCAAAGTCAATGACTCCTTGCAGAATGGCATCAAATATTCCTTTTTCATTTTCTACAACACAAATTTAGCCAATTAAATTAATCAAGAGAGGAAATCTAAGGTAATTTATAAGAGAGCTTTTTAAAACAAAAACAATTTGGCAAAAACTTGTTGTCTTTACCAGCCCAAAAAGGAGGTACACCACTGAGTAGAATATACAGAATAACTCCAGCACTCCAAATGTCTATTTCCTTCCCATAACTACGCCGCAATACTTCAGGAGCAACATAGTATGCACTACCCACTATATCACGGTAAACTTTCCCTGCAAAATGTTTTGGAAAAGCTCAATCAACTCAAGAGTTGATGGTCAATTTAATATCTCTATGAACAAATTGAGACAAACCTAAAACTTGAATGGAATTTTAGAAAAAAGAGCATAGGTGGAAATTTGACAAGAACTAAGACAGAAAGATCATTCAAACAAGTAAAATGAACGGAAGTCCCGAAATAGATTGTTGTCTACTGCTAGTGCCACAACACTATCACATTTTGTTAAAATTCATCCACTGTGCTCTATTTATACAGCTCATATTTTCCCCAGTTTCGACGAGCCACACAAGGTTAGAAAGGGAAAAGAAAGAGGATCGCTAGGTATTTCTTGGTCATCCAAGTCCACCAAAACCTCATTATGAGTTTATCTGATCTCACAACCTACCTCAGAATGCTCTCTAATCAACAAAGCATGCCGTTATAGCATCTTAATAAATGTCTTGAGAAATGTTGTGTACATAACAACTTTTTTCTGCTACTGATGGTAACCACACTAGGCTTACCCGTGTTATAGACAAAAGCAGACCCCCTTCATGATTAACAACATGCAGAATTAGGAAGAATCTGATATTCTGAAATAGGAAAATCAGCAGGGTATAGCTCTACCAGAAATAAACTAACTTGCCAACCTAACTGGTGTCCAGATAAAACAGAAAAGGCAGGAAAACTAGTGTTTTCTGCTCTTACCTTTTAAAGCTCAGCTGAAAAAAGTTCAAATGAGCAGAAGACCAAATATAACTTGTTGTCAACAGCTGGCAGGCAACAGCCTATCACATTTCCTGAAATCTATCCATTCTGCTCTATTTATGTAGGATATATTCTCCTCAAGATGCGTTCATCCAAGGTTTTCAAAAAATAGTAAACGAAAAGGATCACTAACTTTCTTTATCATCAAAGTTCACCACAGCCTCATTCCCTTTTGCTAGATAGTCCAATCTCACCACCAATGTAGTTATAGTATCTAAAGAAATTTCTTGACAGACATTGTTTCTAAAACCTTTTACGGCTAATCAAGCTAGCCTTACTAGGCTTTTACACATAGTTAAAGTCAGAAGTAAAACCAGATCAAAATTAATAATGCAAGGAATGAAGGTCAGGTCTGCTATTCGAGAATAGAAAATCAGTCAGAGGCTAGCCCTGCCAAAAATAAACTGACTTGCATACAAAACCCATAACCAAGATAAACTGCAAAAGCCGGAAAAGCAAGTGTCTTCTTTCTTACCATCTAAAGCTCAACCCAAAAAGGAACATAATCCAGCAATTTGGATGCGATCAACTGACCCTTATTCTCTATTTCACAGTTGCTCATTCTAATAGCAAATAGTCAATTAAATTGCATCACTTAGCACCAAATGCAACTCCTTTTCTACTTCTCAAACAGATCCGAAACCAAAATTTGTACTACTCCTACAATTTCATGCAGAAAAATTATGAAATTACCAAATCAAAAGCACAAACCTCATGCAATACAGCAGGTTTTGACACAATTCTCAAACAATTTCAACATATAATACAACATCACATATATCATACAAGCCAATAACTGAACCAAAATGAAAGAATAAAGAGGATAAAGAGATCAACCTTCCTCAATGAACACGGACAATCCAAAATCAGTTGCCTTCAAATTAGAACCCTCAGCTTTGCTCGATAGCAGGAAATTCTCAGGCTTGAGATCTCTGTGCATCACTCCCATAAAATGACAGGCATGAACCACATTCACTATCTCCCTACAAATCTTAGCAGCATCTCTCTCTGAATAATGCCCTTTTGCTATAATCCTATCAAAAAGTTCCCCGCCTGCACAAAGCTCCATAACAAGATGCACAGATTGCCTATCCTCATACGCCCCTCTAAATTCCACAATATTTGGCTGTCCTGACAAGTGTTGCATAATCTGAATCTCTCTCTTCATATCCTCTCTGTCGTTCTTATTCACTAACTTCCTCTTCAAAATGGATTTGCAAGCATAACTATGACCAGTAGAATTCTCTGTGCACAAATAAGTAATACCAAACTGACCTCTACCCAATTCTTTACTAAGTGCATAGTGTTGCTTGATGTCTTCAAAAGGCTTTCCTAGTATAGTATCAACCTTTGGAACTGGCCTTGTTGGGGTGTGTGGTTGTGTCTGTTGAGGTCTTGTTGGTGGGGTTTGAGTCTGAATTTGAGGGACTGGAGCCTTTTGTTGGCTTTGATGATATTGAGTTGGTTGTTGCTGATTTGTTTGCCTTGGATAACCAGATGTATATGGTTCAGTTGTTGATGGTCTATAACCATTAACATCTGGTCTTGGAGCTTTCTCTTTGCTACCACAACAACCCATCTCAAGATTTGAAAACTTTTCAAAGAGATGGAGCTAAAAATTGAAACTTTAGATCAGAAGAGCAGTAAAAATTGAAACTTTGAGAGATTTTGAGCAAACCCAGATCAAGTTTTGGGCTATGAAGGCTAAATCTTGAGACAGACTGAAGATATATCAACGTTTTTTCTTGTAAGTTGACTCTTCAAAGCTACCATAAATAAGTCTTTCAACAAAAAAAAAAAAATTGCATCATATCAGGTTAGATGAAAAGTTTGGACTCTAAAGAAAACTGGAGATGAGGGAGGTTTGTATGTATTAATTAATATTATTATTTCATTTAGTTTTAAATATTTTAGATTTTACACTTGATTTAAGTGATTATATTTTGGAGCATTAAATATGTCATATTTTCATTTTAAAAAAATAGATACTTTCAGTTTAATTTTTTAATTTTCTTTGGTTAAAACAAATATAATACAATTTTTTTCTAAAATATTTATTTTGAATGAGTAATAACAAAAAAAAAATTATTTAAACTCTTACTAGCACAAATAATTATTTATATGGTAAGCAAATCGCTAATGCAATACTATTTAAGTTGTAAGGTTTTTATGTACAATCGGGATCTGTAAAATGGAATGGATCTTGATCTGAATTCAACTCGTATCCGATGTAATTAAATAGATTTGATAGATAAATTTTTATTAGAGACTGATTATGATCCAAATTCGTTAATCAGTTTATTAAATAAATCAAATTTGAATCTACGTTGATCCAATCTGAAAATAAATCAATCTAAAATTAAAAATAAAATTTTTATAAAAATATAATGTTTTTTTAAATAGTAATAATTTATATGTGTGTGTGTGTGAAACTAGGTTGAAATTTAGAATTTAATTATTATAAAGTTCAAACAATGCATTTCCTTCAACAATGAGACTACATTTTCAAAAAACCACATATAAATTTTTTATTATTGTCTTAATTCAATTTCATAAAAAAAATTATATATTGACTTATATACATTTTCAAGATTCGATGTTATTATATTTGTCATCATTATATTTGTCATCATTCTATTTTTGCTTGCTAGATGGATAAAAAATAAATTTTATTTATTATTTATTTCTTTTAGTTTTATCAATTCTTTTTACCTAGTTTAAGGCAAACTTTTATTAATATTATTTGATTTTGTAGATTTGAATTGTGTGACATTTTAAATTTTTACAAAATCGATAAATAAAATATTATCTTGATATGTTTTATTATACATGCAATGATTTAAATATATTTTATATTCGAGTAATATATTAAAGTAGTCCTCATAAATTTTATACAAAAAATGAAGTGATAAATCCGATGAAACTTCTAATTTGTTTCGAGTCCATTACGACCCATATCTAATTTCACATTTTCAAAACTCGATCTGAATTCATAAGATTCAATTCAATTTATTTCACTAAACAAATGGAAACTTGATCTATTATGATTCAATCTAAATTCGATCCGTTGATAATCCTATGTGCAATTTTTCCATTTGTGTAGAGTTTTTCTTTAGTTTAAGAATAATATAAATATATAATTTGTTTGATTCTCTCTTATCAAGAAATTTTATAATACCTAAAGAGCAATTACTAATATTTACTTCATAAATCAATTTGAAAAAAAATTAGTTATAAAAATAATAAAAAAATTATATACATACCCATCAAAAATTATATATATATATATATATATATTCTCCTCTCCTACCCACAAAGTGCACCATGTTCTTCTATGTTTCTGTCTTAAAAAGACTTGTAAACAATGGGCTAAGCCATCCGACCATTTCCTTTGCAATTCTGGTTTAGAATTTAGATTACTTTCTTTAAAAAAAAATTGTATTTATTTCTCATCATTTAAAAAAAAAATTGAAATGATAATATAATTATTTGTTATTGGAATCAAATCTCAAAGTCACATTAATTTTTTTTTTTTTTTTGCATTATGATCCGAAATTAGCCTAGATGATTATTCAGACTGAAGATCTCAAGTGTGAATTCCATCATTAAATTCTTGAAAACATGGCAAATCGATTTTTTATTAGTCTTATTTATAAAATTATTTTAAATTTTGATTTCAATATAGATGTGATATTTATTTCCACCTTTACACTTTTTTTTTTAAAAAAAAAACACCTTATTATATATCTTTTTTTTCAAATTAAAAATAGTTGAGAAAATAAAAAAAAGTTGACTTAAGTAGAAGGAGTTTTAATCATTTAAATCAATAATTTCGAATTTGAATTCTTATTTACATAAATTTTTTTATGATTAGTTGTGCTTGATTTATACGTTTAACAAAACAATTGAGGATTAATCTATAGACTTTTGAGAGTGAGATATCTTGAGGATAAAAAAATATGTGGTTGAAAAAACCATAGACAATAGTTCAAGAAAAAGAAAATTCAGAACAGGCAAGTGTATCGTTAGAATGAGCATGCTTAAATTACTGGTTTTTTTTAAAAAAAAAAGGGATCGAAACTTCTTCTTTTTTTTAACATATATTTTATAACGTTATTTTTTTTTAAACTAGAGTTAATTTATTTTCTATGGATTGTGTTTTTTTAGGTTTATATAAATATATATAGAGAGAGAGAACAAAAATAAATCATATATTTCCTCAACTTACAAATCATGAAAGATAAGATGGATCTTACCTTCCTTTATTTAATTCTATTTGTTCTCCTAAACAGGGAAATTATCTCTTAAGAAATTCATTAATTATCGCAAACATACATGGATCTCGGATTGTTTGGTAATATTATCATAAAAATTCCACCAAAAATGACATCATAATATTTATTTTTGTTTTCTTAAACCATTTTTACTGACTGGGAATATAAATTTTATGAGTATTCTCTCGATATAAATAGTACTTGACAGTATTTTAAATTGGAAATTGTATATTTTTAACAAAAAATAAAAAAAAGAGTTGCTATTTTTTTTTATAATAGTAATTCGTGATATTGATAACAATTTAAAAATAATATTTTTGTCACATATTCTAGTGGATTACGGGATTATTATGACAGTGAATTTTTTTTAAAAAAAGATTTTTTTGGTTTTTGAAATTTGAATACATGTAATTAATAAAACTTATTTCTTTTTAAACGAGTCAAGATTTTTAATGCTATTTAATATATTTTAAGTACAGAGTATATCTTCCAGAATTTGTCTATCTTTTTAAGATTTATTAATAAATTCTAAATAAATGTGAAACGGAGAATATATTTAGGGCCAGTTCACTGAATAATTTTGTTTCATCATTTTTATCCCTTTACATGGAAGTTTAACTTTGTAGCATGTAATTACATTAATTTTTTTTTAATTATTGGAATATTATTTATGCTGTCATGAGAATTACATTAATCATTTTTTTTGTTTTTTTTTCCCTTTCAAAGGATCCGACTGGTTTTGAGTGTCATATGCCTCCCCTTGAATCTTGATGTCTAAATCCCTATTTTTTTAAAAAAAATTCCTAATAAAATTTTTAAATTTTAACAATAAAAATATCACATTTGAACTATTTGATCGATATTATTTTTATAAAATGTTAGTTAATTTACTTTTTTTATTAGATAACATATTTTATTTATTATTTATTTAATTTTTACATTCAAAATTCCTAGCAGAACTAGTTTTTTAGAATTTAAATTTATGATCTCTTGCAAAAGACCACTATTACAAGACTATAAGCTTTTTGATTAAAAAAACATATTTTAAAGTCCGTTTTCATATATTAAAACTAATAAGCTCATCCAAATCAAAACTGAAATAAATAAGTGATCAACATTTGAACTAGTTTTTCAAATAAAAAAAAATTCAATATTTTTTTTAAATTCGAATCCTAAATAATATTATGAATAATAGACTAATAGAGTCGCAATAATCATCCATAAAAGGTCTAAAGAGAATTCTCATTAAAAACCCAAAACGGGATAAGATAGGCAAGTTCAACCCGAGATTAACGTTAAGTGTGATTTTCTTACAATACTCTAACGTAAATAGCAAGCAAGGGTGCCGGCTAATTGATAAAAACCACCCCCTGTATTTTTGATAAAATCTAAATCAGTCCTTAACCTTTTTTTATTTTATTACATCAATTTATCATATCAAAACAATTGACCACCTCCGTTAGGCTTCCCACCCTAATAGAAAAACGAAAAAATTTATTCAATTTTGATTAATTGCTTCGATCCGATAGCTCAAGGTACTAAAATCAGATAAAAAAAGTTAAGGAATTAATTTGAATTGTACCAAAACTTGAGGAGTTGTTTTGCCAATTAGATCCATCGCAATCCATAATGACATAGCATATTCTACCCTACCTAATATGCTTTTCTTTCTGTCATTGTCTATGAAGTCAGTGCTAGTTACCCAGGAAACTTCCACTTGTCTTCTTCTTTTTGCTAACATGATTGAGAAAATTTATTGCCTAATCCCCTAATTTATTTCTTAATTTTTCCATAAAGCAAGACTTTTAGGGAGCTATAACACCTATGAATTTAGCATTTATACTCATGACTTTGGTATATTCAAGTTTTATATTGGAATCCACTAATGGATGGAGGCAAAAAGGGGAGCATGTGGCCTCTTTATTGGCTTGTTTGCTCTACAAATGGGACCAAAGAAAAAGATTCCAACCCCAAAACTTTGAAGATATGCATTTTTTTTTTCAATCTCATTCCCATCATTAAAAGGAAGACTTATCATGCTTAGTTATTTTTTCATATTGTCCCATTATGGTGCTTTTGATTATCTGTTTCTGTTGAAAGTTTCTTTTGGGTAGAAAATATTAATAAAGAAGACAGAATGCTTTGGTTTGAAATTAGAGTTAGACGGTTAAAATAATCATTACAGTTTATTTTAGGTTATTTTTTATTATCAATCTATATATAAATAATTGCTTAATATCAAACACAAAAAAAAAAAAAAAAAAATTAGCCTCAACCTCAAAAAGTGATCTCAATTACTCTAGCT